AAACTGAAATATATTCTTACGTTTCCCGGTTCGACGAACAGTTACATTAATCGTAAGAATAATAAACAGTAGAGAGGATGCGAGAAACCCTTTTTTACATGTGTTTGGTTTGCGTATGTCAACACAGTATTTTGTGGTGTAACATGAGCCTAATCGGGAGCATAAAGGTGATCTTTTTCATATTTTTTAAAATCGCTTGAAAAATGTGTCTAATTGTTGATTAATCTCCCCTACAAACCATGACCAGCAAAGCAAATAGGCAATAGTTTCAAGAGGAAAGTGAAAACGCATAAAACAGGGACTAGCTAGAACGCGACAGTGAAAATTCGCTGCAGATACATACATACGTGGAAGTGAGCAATGTTCGGATAAAGTAAAAATGCCAAGAACCAAGCATGAACGTCGGAAGGAGACGTAAAAGGAACGGATCAACGTATTTATTATTTTGTTATTATTTTGGCACGCTTCTATAATATATGGACCTGTTTTGTGCATTCGGTTGCAAAAAGAAGATGATAACATATGTTTATTGTGTATAAATAGCACACTTTTACGTTTTGAGATTTCGTTGCAGTCCTTCAGAAGCGAACGATTACAGCAACTTGTCAAGAAAGGATATCGGTATTTTTCCTAATTACGTAACGATAGCATGGAAAAAAAGCTAGAGGTATGGATTTCGCCATAAAAATGGCCAGTAGATTTAATGCATGAAGATTTTTTTACTCATTCCTTCTGCAGGTTCAAATTAAAAAAAAAGATAAGGAAGAGGGTTGTTATCCAACCAGGACTTTTTTTTCTACAGTTGAGCTCAAAGCATCTTGCTTTGGTCTTTTCAATGTGGTATGTGCTCTTTAGATCCCTGCTGCTAGTGTAGTTGTGTGGCATATAGTGAAAGAGTGAGACATTATTTTTTCTTCAAAAATCAATACTCTATAATTACTGAGCTTACGTTTAAGAGGAATAAAAAACGGCATATAACGTAAGTCGGTGGAGTGAGATTTTAAATAAAAAAAAAATATATTGGTTGGTATCAAAGTAAGGGCCAGTATTATTCATATCGTTATGTGTTTTTCAATGCAAATAAGCAATTTTTCGTTGAGTTCAAATGCGAAAAAAAAAGAAATAGGGAGCATGAAGGAATCGGGAACGAGTTCGGTTGCGCCGGACAGTATTCGGCTACATACGAAGGACTGTTGGAGAGTGAATCCGCGCAGGCGTGCATTGTTGTAACCAGATATGATTATAAAATAGATTTTTTTTTGTCATGTGTTTTGCTGGATGCTTCCTTTGGTGTCTTTTTGCAAGAAAGAAAAAATCCTATTTATGTATGTTTTGTATATTCTCCGCAATACTTTGAACACATAAACCACTCATACAAATTCGCTCAAGCAATCATTCCTCTTACTATTGACACGCATACAATGCAAGTGGGAGAAATCGGACCAGAAAGGAGAAGGTTTTGTCCTAGCGTGTCCATTCGACGGAACCGTTAACGTTAGGAGAAAAAAAAATCAAAACTCTCACGAAGACATATAATTACAATCGAAGAAAAGAAAGACATTTTTATCGGTCACTAAAACGTGAGAGGTCGGAGATCACCACAGTTGGCTTGAGAATGGGATTGTATTGGTCAGATGCAGTACGTCGAATGAGGAGAGTTATTGCAGTTGGTGACAAAGACTCTAGGCAACCGCAATGTGTTCCAAGAAACGAGATACTCACACACAGAGTAGTGGCAGATGGTTTCAGAAGCTACGAAAAAAAAAATCCGAAGCGAACATGGAATGTCCTACTGCTTGCTCTTTCTTGCTTAGTGATCGTTATAGCCTACGGTAGTGGCCATAGCCTAAGAAGAGTGGTCAGAAAAAAAAGCGCTTTTGAAAGCACATAAACATTCTTATATTTTTTTCGCTCACACTCTCGTGGATCGGGATAGATCTGTCCGTACCCACTAATAAAAGGTGTGTTTATATACTTCTCATTGCTTCAAACCTTACTATAATTTTTTTCCTAAGATCCTGTCCGAGAAACTAAAAAAGGCTTGTTTTTGATTATATTAATAAAAATAAATCCATACAAATTTTGCTTTTTAAACTGCTCTTAAACATCAATGGAGGCAGGCTTATATTAATGAAGTCGGCAAGTACTCCAGGTCCCTGTATTAGTTAATTTTTCCCATTATTAATAACGTAATTTTAAACTCCAATCTCAAGCACTTTTCTACATGTAAAACAAACACCAGCCAAACTGATAATGTTTTAAATATGGCTTGTGGAATAGAGTACCGTAAAACGGGATATCTTTGATAATACGGGTAACTTTGATAGTAGAATATAATGCTCAAATTTACAGGCTGCACTATTTCAGAATTGGAAACATGTGTTCCATTTTGTAACTTAATGCACAGCAAAAAATTAATTTTAATATCACATCAAAGTGGCTGCACTTCAATCGTGTCGAAAATATGGTGCACTGATAAAATTTCAAACATTGTTTTTATGTGTCCCACACATGAATTTTTGCAATGTTATCAACAAATTATATTTATGTTTCGGACACATACTTAATATGTGTACATATAAAAGCCATGTGTAACCACATATACTATTAATTTGACTCATAAATGTCATGTGTGCTTCTGGGTGGATTCTGTTTATGTGCGATGACATGAAAATCATATGGAATTTCCCATGGAAATTCGTCAATCAATATGTGTGGAATTTTATTAGTGTTTAATATTACTTGCCAAAAAGGACAACATTATCATTAATACAGTGCATGAACTGACATTACGCTGCTTTTACGGCATTTGTTTATTGTTGTGGCCATAAAAAATACATGAGATTTTTGACATTATTGAAGTGCATCCTCTTGGATGTAATAGAACAATTCCATACAAATTCGCAAATCGGTTTATTTTTGTATTTTTTTGATTTATTTGAAAATTTGCGGAAACGTTCCTTATGAACGACAATGCCCTTTTTTAATCCAGCCTTATTTTTGAAAAGGGCATACACGCAGGCAAAAGAACGTAAGAATTCCATAAGAAACACTTATGAATTTTAGCCATAAGAAATAAGTGTGAATTTCATTGATTCGCCTTATGAAAAATAATGTTGACAAAAAAATAATAAATCGGAGCAGACTGAAACCGAAAAATGGACGTTGAGGTTAGGGGGCCCGTGCGTAGACCACTCGTCTTTCAACGCTTGGAAAAATGAAATGGTTAAAGGCGTATAAAAGCTACCTCATGTTACCGGAAAATCATTCATAAGTCACGCTTATGAAATTCATATATGTTGTTCATAAGTCGAGCCTTATGAAATTCTTTGGTCTATTTGCCTCAGTGTATAGAAAAATATCAAGTTTATCTTCAGAAAATTTTTACTCGAAAACTGTTTTTCCGATCGGTTTTGTGTATTCGGCAATATTGCAGGTAATAGATGATATCAATCTAACAATTTAAAAATAAATTAAATCATTCGCGAAAAATCGCAATTATAAGTGAACCCGTTAGCTTCGTACCATTCCAGGACAACATTTGAATAGTGGCACGAAGCTAGATCCGGCCAGAAGATCATAGGGCCCTCGTGTTGCTTCAACAGAGGAAGCAGACGCTTCTGTAGACACTCCTTGAGGTAGATCTCCACGTTTAGAGTCCCGGTAGCCACGGCAGCATTGGGATTCCGCTTAAACGCTTTCACGACACGCTTGTGTTTCTGATCAGGCATGGAAAATCATTTGCTATCATTTCGTGCATTCATTTACATTCATTTGCCCCTAACTTTTTTCATCAACAAAATTCCTCAAAATGATGTATGGAACTTTTGTAGGTTTTGCTATTACCTACAACTTTTGTTAACAACTCAAATCCTTATCTCTTATGCATGACGAACCAAAGCGAGCAGAAGCCACTACTGTTTTTCAGTGAATGTATTTTACATTCACTGAAAAACAGTAACAAGTTCTGCCCGCTCTAATTCGTCATGCATAAGAGATACAGATTTGAGTTATGGGCAAAAGTTGTAGCTAATAATAAAAGCTACTAATGCTATAAAAAAACATTTTGCGGAATGCTGTTGACGAAAAAAATTAGAGGTAAATGAATGTGAATGAATGCATGAAATGAATGTAAATGATTTTTCATGCCTGATCCTGATCACTAATAGAACATCCATTCTGACCGCATTTCTCCTTCCGTTCGATGCTCAGAGTTTCGCAGTAATGTTTAATCACACGACTTACCGTTGACTGCACGATTCCGAGTTGTTTTCCGATGAGAGAGTTGAGGATTTTTCCAGGTGCTTGCGCAAAATCAATTCGCGACGTTGCTTTTCGGATGACGTCATTTTTTTCCAACTTCCGAAAAACTGACAGCGATAAAAATATAGTGTAAACGAATAAGTGGACTGTATTTATCGGGAATTCGGAATCCGGATTTTCCTTCCGAAAAGAGAAAAAACGCGACTCGTCCTCTAGAAAGATTTTACGTCAATGTTGTATTCTTGTTATTGTCTGTTTGCGTTTGGTGTACAGGGTGTGCTTACGGTTGTTGATCGTGTGTATACTAGGGATGCTCAAGTAGTCGAACATCCTCCCGGCGTTGAAATGTAGATTTCAATTCTCCTGGTCTAACGGTAGCAAGCAAACCTCCGTTACTGCCCGCTTGAACTCTACTCCATTCGCAGTTCTCACCGTAACGACGCGTGTCACGCCATCATTGCCAGAGTATGTTGCTATAATCTTTCCTAATGCCCATTGCAGAGGTGTGGTGTTCTTATCCACGAGCAGAACTAGAGCATCCTTCGAAATCTTCCTCGTTCTCAACCATTCTACTCGACTCTGGAGTTCCGGTAAATATTTCGCTGTCCACCGTTTCCAAAAATGCTGAACCATAGTTTGCACCAACTGCCATCTTGAGAGAAAATTCTGCTTCAAATCCAAGTACGACGGTTCAGCTACAGCTTGTATCTCACGTCCAATCAAAAAGTGTGCTGGTGTTATGGCTGTGTAATCGTTGGGTCATCTGAACATGGCGCTAGTGGCCGTGAATTAAGAACCGCTTCAATTTGCGTTAGTGTGGTGTACAATTCCTCATAGATGAGCTTCCGATGACAGACAATTCGAGTCAGGTGATGTTTCACCTGCTTTACACCAGTCTCCCAAATGCCACCAAAGTGGGGGCTCCGTGGTAGTATGAACGACCACTCGATCCCTTTACCGGTGCAGTAGCTCGTGATTTTTCCTAAGGCACACTGATTACGGAGCAGCAGCCACAGCTCGTGGAGTTCGGTTTTAGCCACGACAAAGTTAGTCACATTATCGGAACGCATCGTTTTCGGGTATCCACGTCGGCTTGTGAATCGTCTCAGATCAGAGACCAATTCAAGATGTATGGCACGCGTCTGCATACACACAAACAAGCTCACGTAGGCCTTCGTGATAAGTGGCTTACGCGCAGTGGATGACGACTTGATCCAGAAAGGTCCGGCATAGTCAACGCCGGTATTTGAGAAAGCTGAAGCAGGTCGGATGCGATAAGACGGTAAGTCACCCATCATTTGTGTCGTCTTAAGCGGGTTCGCTTTGAAACACGGTACACAATTCCGAATCACCTTACGAATCATGGTTTTCACATTTAGTGGCCAGTATCGTTGTCTAACGATCGCAAGCAGACCCTTCTGCCCGATGTGCAAGTTCTCCTGGTGCAAGTATAGTACAAGTGCTTCGGTGATCGGATGCTTCGCTGGGAGCAGCATCTGATGACGGCTATCATATGGAATGAAAGCTCGTTTGATACGCCCTCCAACTCGTAGAATACCATGTTCGGTGTCCAAGAACGCCTTCAATCCATTTAGTCGATGCTTCGTTTCAGCACCGTCCATCAGTGCAGCAATTTCTGGTTAGAACATTTCATGTTGGACCAAGCGTACTATCAAGAGAGTCGCCTTCTCTGCCTCTTTAGCAGTGAGCGGTCCTTTCACCACCTGTTTCTTCTTGGACCTGATGTAATTTACAAAGCGCACCAAGTAGGCCATGCAACGCACAACCTTTATGAAGCTACTCACCTTGTCAAAAATCTGCATTCGTTCAGTAGGTGCAGATAAAGCCAGTACAACACCAGTCCGCATTTCTGGAAGTTCTTCATCCGGGATCTCATCTTCCTCTATCGTTTCGACGACTGCATGGTTGAACGTAGGTGGACCATTCCACCACAACTTAGATTCCACAAGTTTCTTCGGTTGCTCTCCTTGGGATATCGAGTCGGCTGGATTTTCGTGTGTGGGAATGTAGCGCCAGCTGCAATTCAGGGTTAGGTTCGGAATTTCACTAACTCGATTCGAAAAGTAGGTGTGCAATACTTGAGGACGTTTTCTGATCCATGCCAATTGTCGAGTCACTCCAGAGGTTGGTCGACGCGAAATTCAACTTCGTAGCATGCAGGAACTTCTCGGCTAGTCTAGCAAGCAGTAAAACCGCCAGGAGCTCAGCACGAGGAGTGGTGATTGCCTTATCCTTCGCCTTTTTCTTTGGCAGTATGCGAGACTTGCTACAAATCAGCATCATATGGATGGTATCATCTGGGAAAATGGCACGTGAATAGAGACATGCTCCATACGCTAAGTCGGAGGCATCCGAGAATCCGTGAAGTTCTAGATTGAGTGAACCTTTCCAGGAGATACACCTCGGCAAGTGTACCTCATTCAGGATTGTGACGAGGTCCTTCTGGATAGTTGGCCCAGTCATCAGAACATCGTTTATCGAAACGCCCGTAGACGTTCTAGCCGATCCATCAAATACGACTCTTAGTTTGGTCGTCGTACTGGTGGGCCTCAACACGCAGTGGTGTGGCAAATAATACACTGAGCCAGGTTTCTCGCTCAGATCCTCCTGTATCTCTCGCATGTGTCCGAGCTGCTCATATTCTCGTAGGAATTGAGAGTACTGCTCTTTAAGTTCCGGCTGCTTTTCAAGCTTTCGCTCCAAATTCAGGAACCGCTTCAGGGCCATCTCACGCGAATCGCCCAATTCATGCTTGCGTTCGCTGAAGGGATGCTGTACAACGTATCTTCCTTCCTCTGTTCGTTGGTGTGTGCGCTGAAAATGATCCACACACTTCTCGTCGCCCACCGTAGGAGATAGGCGGATCTCGTCGCAGGCTTCCACTTTGTAGAAGCTTTTCAACAGTTCAATGAGCGGCTCATAGTCCTCAGCATTCTGGCAGAACGTGCGTGCAACAACAGGGGCATCGTTTGCGATCATTCCTCCAGCAATCCATCCAAGCTTGGTGTTGGTCAGCACTGGAAGATTCGGGCCGAGTTCAATTCGGTCATTCTTCATTCATCCCAGAAGTATTCAGCACCGATAAGCATATCGACACGTCCTCGCTTATAGAATGTCGGATCGGCCAGTTCTTGCTTGCTCAAGATAGGCCATTCCGAAACATCAAATGATTTCACCGGCAAGTCACCAGTGATCCGGGGGATTACCAACAGGTCCAGGCCAACAGTGTATTGTTGCCGTTCAGTTCGCTAACAGTATAGTCAGCAGGTTCCAGTTTCAACGAAAGAAGGTTTGCAAACCGCTCCGTAACGAAATTCATTTGCGATGCGGAATCCAGGAGCACTCGGTAAGGGTATGGAGTGTTGCACAAGCCATGGGCCAATACCACGGCAGTCGATAGCAGAGTCTGCTTCTGTGTACCACTGACGCATGCGCAGAGAGTCGTCGTCCCCGCTCGGTTGCTGACGTTTGGATCTCCTTCGGGTTTCACAGCCGGTGTCGCTGGATCGTCTGCTAGTTTCGCAGCGGTGGAAACTTTACTTGAAGTGTCCTCGACGTGTAGCAAGGTGTGATGCTTTTTGCCACACTCACGACAGGAATGTGTCGAGGAACACGCACTGGTACGATGGCCTTGCGTCAGGCAATTGAAACAGGAACCGCACGTTTTTAGTACATCGTATTTTTCACTAACACTTTTGTTCTTGAATGTATCACATCTCCATAGTTCATGGTGTGCCTTGCACACTTGACACTTATGTTCATTTTTCGATTCACTTGTTGACAGTAGCGTGTAGCTCTTGGCCATTGCCTTTGTTTTAACACTCTCCGTCGTCGGCCTCGTGTCGATTTTCTCATATATTCGACACTGTTCTTGCAAGAATTCCAGCGTGGCAACATAGGTTGGTAGAACTTCCTTCTTCTGTCGAGCTTCCCAGGCGACACGTAGTTTTTTGTCTATCTTCGCCGCGATGAGATTCACCAGCATCTGTTCCCCAAGCCCAGCGACTGGCAGCTCAAGGTTCTTCAAAGCCTCCACGTTCTTGGTGCACGTGTCGGTCATTTTTCTTATGTTGGCTGCATTCTCTTGTCCAACCTTCGGTAGGTTGAACAGGTTCTCGACGTGCTTGTCGATGATTATTCGCTTGTCTTCGAATCTCTGCTTCAGTACCATCCACGCAGCATCATAGTCGTTGTTGTTGACTAGATCCTGGTCGATGATACCAGCCGCTTGACCAACAAGGCAGTTCCTCAGGTGGTACAATTTCAATGCTGGATCTTCCTGCTGGTACCGGTCCATGACGGTGGTAAACATGGACTTGAAGGAGTACCACTTCTCGTACGACCCGTCGAAAGTCGGCAAGAGCACTTGTAACGGTGGAAGATAGGGCTGAGCCGGAAACATCAACTGCTTGATAGATTTCTGGAGTACATCCGTGGAAGAGGTCGCGGAAGAGGGAGCTACTGCTACAGCTGCCGCTCGCTCCATCAACATGTTCAGTTTAATCACCACGTCGTTGTAAAGCGATTCAAATTCGATGTATTTCTCGATTTGTTCCGCTCGACGTTCATCAGAGAGGGGTAGCTCGTATATCTTGTTCTGAAAGTCATTGTACTCGCGGTTACAATGTTCCACCGTCTTTTGGTGAAGCTGCAGAAAATGGATGTTCATAATGTTCGGATTCGATTCTTCATCACTATGCCGTAAAGCACTTCTCACTCGGGTTAACTTCCCCTTCACTGCCCCTCTCTGATGAACCAGCACTTTTATTTGTTCTTACATTTTCTTTGATTCTACTTTTTGCTTCTGTTTATCTTTTTGTTCACTGATCGGCGTTCTCGGTGTTTTAACTTTTTTAACTGGCGGTGTTAAAAACATCTTCATTTTCTTCCTTCTCAAGATTCACTTCACTTTGATCGCACGCCATTTGCAAAAAAAAACAAAGAAATCCGAAAAAACACTAAACACTTCCAGCAGGGTTCATTTCTGTGGTGACTTGACCACGCCATTCGCCAAAACAGTTGTCAGAGAATTTTCTTTTTTCACTTAGCGACGGCTCAGCGTCACTTCCATCGTCGATTAGGAAACTTTTCCTCCAGAGCGACCGCCATGTGCAAAAACAGCTAGCGCTTCGCCACACTCGAGCGGACGAATGTTCAAACGCAATTTCCGTCTTTCACACGAAAAAACAACACCGCAATGAACTTTCACCGGTCACTCACGGATTTGGATCGATTGACCACAACGTTGCTTCGATTAAGTGCACTGTATTTATCGGGAATTCGGAATCCGGATTTTCCTTCCGAAAAGAGAAAAAACGCGACTCTTCCTCTAGAAAGATTTTACGTCAATGTTTTATTCTTGTTCTTGTCTGTCGTACAAAGGTGTGTAGTGTTGTTTGCGTTTGGTGCACTGGGTGTGCTTACACTGAAACAAAGATAATAGTTAGGAATACTATTTTGCAGAAAACACTTATTTTCAGTATAACTACGCTTAATACCGTTAAATCTACCATGATTTCAGTATAGTTTACTATAAATATAATCAAATTTACTACCATTCTGTCAAAACTATTTTGTTTAGTCAAACGGCATAGTAGTTTTGATAGAAAAAATAGTAGAATTAAATGAATTTCGTTTCTGCAAAAATCTATTGGTGGGAGCACAGACAAACAGACGTAACTCTTCATTGTGTATCTTCGTTCATGCATTTAACGGTTGATTTGAATATTATCAGTTCCGCGAACTACTCGCCGCAGCGCTGGCATCGGATCACTTTGACGTTTCTATATATTCTATAGAACTTTTATGCAATATTGTTTACGAGTTAGCGAGCAAGCTTGTTTTCCGCGAGAAGCCAGATAGATGTCGCTACTGAGGTTATATGTTTTGAGATACTATGTTTTCAAGAACAAGTTTTTCAAAGAGTTACGTCTGTTTGTCTGTGGTGGGAGTATTTAATTTAAACCATCAATGTAGTATTTTAGCCAATGGATTTTGTTTCTATGTACGGTTGTTGAAAGTGTGTATACTAAGGATGCTCAAGTAGTCGAACACTCCTTCTTCCCAAATTTTAAAGAGAAAATACCCAATGGGTAATTTTCTACAGCGTTTTTTCCGTGATACAATTTGATGTGGGACACCCTTTACCTGCAAAACAAGTTCTTTTTTTCGCCTAATTGAAAAGCCACTCAAACAATCACTATTACTTATGATGTTTATGATTATATACTCAATCAAAGTTTCTTATTTCTTGATCAAAATAGTTTTCTACACTCATCGAGTATTATCAAAGTAACCCCAAAACAAAAAACTAATGTTCGGTCACTAGACAATAAAAATAGTGCAAATGCAATAATTCTTGGTAAACATATTACTAACGAATTGACTCTAGGATCCCCAGTAATTGTTTTAAATATATATATATACTTCAACTTAGTATAATCTCAAATCTCTCTCCTATTGCCTTTAATTGTCAGCCACATTTGTCACGAAAATAAAGCCGCACGTTTCAGTTCCACTTTTGGAGTCCTGGCGATGCGTCTAAGCTTTGATATTGAATAGATTTTCCACGCATGGTTCCTTTTTGCCGCTAAGTGAACCA